GTGGATATTCTCCAGCTGGAGTTCTTTAGCCTTTAAGGCTGTTTTCCTGGAAATCCTTAAAGCTGTAGGAATGCTTCCCTGGAGTTCTTAAAGCTGTGGGAATGCTTCCCTGGGGTTCTTAAAAGTTGAAGCTTTTGTACAGGGGAAGTTACACACATCCTATACATAAGTTAACCTGACTGAGACTAACTAACAAAATGGTCCTTCCCTTCCCAATTGCCCTGAGCAAGGGGCAGGACCAAAACTTAACGATGACGGACAGGTGGCCTGCCCTATGACTGCAGCCAAAGAAGCCATCTATCTGCAGAGTCCCTGAAAGTTAGGACTACAAACAAACATTCAATGCAAAGCAAACAAAATTGGAGCTCCTGGTACAGCTGTTCCAGAACAATATCTACCAGGCATGTGCAAAAACATCAGAAGAGTCAGAAATCACAAGAAATTTGGAAATTTTGTAAGTTGGAAGTCATATCCGAAGCGTGTGTGTGGCCTACACCACATATTTTAGAATCGACTTACTCCATCCTTTTTCATTTTAATTTTGCAAATCTTGGAAGGTTCCCAAAATCAGTTTCATATTCAGTGCAAGGAGCAAAGCCATTAAGCCAAAAAAGCTGCCTGCCTGTCTGCCATTCCTCTCCCTGGAATTAATGGAGTCTCTCGGCATTGATAGTGGTGAAAAGAGGGAACAGTGCATTTTGGAATGGGGAGCAGCCCTATGCCAAAGAATTCAAAAGGTTCTACCCATAACTACATTTCCTAGTATGCATTAGCATCAGAAAACCCCAATTAGGAGAGGAGATTGGTCTCTAGCCAGCCAGAAGTGTGTTTGAATATTCAAACTACAAGAGAGGAGATTCCATCTGAACATGAGGAAGAACTTCCTGACTGTGAGAGCCGTTCAGCAGTGGAACTCTCTGCCCCGGAGTGTGGTGGAGGCTCCTTCTTGGGAAGCTTTTAAACAGAGGCTGGATGGCCATTTGTCAGGGGTGATTTGAATGCAATATTCCTGCTTCTTGGCAGGGGGTTGGACTGGATGGCCCATGAGGTCTCTTCCAACTCTTTGATTCTATGATTCTAAGTTGTTAAACTATAATATATGTTCCTGGGTTATAAATGGCAATTCCTAATTGGTTCTGTCATTAAAAAAACATGGCAAAAGCTTATTACACTGCAAAAACTTTGTTTTTGCACAAGGGACATCGTGCTATAACACATTTTGCTTTGTTGAGTCTCCACCAATTTAGCAAAGTTTCTGCCACAAAGGCAAAGTTTTTGGAGTAGGACAACTACTTTCAAAGTAATAAAAGCAACTTAAGCAACATGCAGTCATTGAATTCTTGACAGCAGAAGGTGTCACCCCAAAGGAGATTCATCAGAGAATGCAAGCTGTTTATGGTGATTGTGTTGATGTGAGTACTGTGCGTTGTTGGGCGAGTAAGTTTAAAGATGTTGAGGTGACACCTTCTGCTGTCAAGAATTCAATGACTGCGTGTTGCTTAAGTCGCATTGACTGACTGTCTGCGCAGGGTTCCATATTTTGCACTTCAAAAACACAACTGTTCAATGCTAAGGCTTCCTGCCAAAATGGAACTGTAGGGGAGAGTCTACTGAACAAGCCATTACCTGCCGCATACCAGTACTGACATCTGTTGAGGAGTTACGAAGGTGGAGGCATTACTTTTTATTCAACCCTTATAGTAACGAAATTTCATTAGTCTCATTATAGTAATGAATTTTTCACTAAGTATACTTTAGAAATGCTTTTGTAATGAAGCACCAGTACGCCCAGTTTTGTAATGATTTTTCAACAATTTTTAATGCATCACACGTCCTTAATCTACCATCACAGATGAATGGCTGATACCAAATGGCCTAAAAATTTTGCCCATGCTACATCCAGATAGCATGAACAGACTCATTAGTTACAGGAGCACATTTCCTTTGTTTTCCTGTGGGAAGAATTACATGGATTTATGTGTTCTGCAGTGTTCCTTTCAAGCCATTATTAAGCACACCGTCCATAAGTCACAACAACTGCTGTAGAGCCGCTTTCAATAAAAGCCATTATAAACACCGTAGGTTGGGCAGCACCTTATTGTGGACCACTAAACAAATGCTGGAGAGGCAGGCTCATGTCCCTTTCATTCCAGAAATGCTAATTTCTATTCACTCCCTTTCATAATCCCCTTTCAGATTAAATATGTATCTATGTAAATAAAAATGTCTGTTTGTGGGATTAACATAACTCAAAAACCACTGGATGAATTGCCGCCAAATTTGGCCTCAAGACACCTTCTAACCCAAGGAGTGACCATCACTCAAAAAAACTTGATTTTGTCATTTGGGAGTTGTAGTTGCCGGGGTTTATAGTTAATCTACAATCAAAGAGCATTCTGAACTCCACCAATGATAGAATTGAACCAAACGTGGCACACAGGACTTCAATGTCCAACAGAAAACACTAGAAGGGCTTGGTGGGCATTGACCTTGAGTTTGGGAGTTGTAGTTCACCTACATCCAGAGAGCACTGTGGACTCAAACAATGATGTATCTGAACCAAACTTGGCACAAATATTCCATGTGCCCAAATATGAACACAGATGGAGTTTGGGGAAAATAGAGCTTGACATTTGGGAGTTGTAGTTACTGGGATTTATAGTTTACCTACAACCAAAGAGCATTCTGAACCCCACCAATGACAGAATTGGAGCAAACTTCCCACACAGATCCTCCATGACCAACAAAAAATACTTAAGGCCATCCAGTCCAACTCCCTTCACCAGGGCAAGAAAACGTTACCAAAGCCCTCCTGACAAAGAGTCATCCAGCCATAGATGTAGATAGATATATATGATTCACACACAGAGAGATATAGTATCATTGATTTGAAAGTGACTCCTAAAGAAGGACAATTCTATGTTGCATATTCTAGAATAGGCAAACCAGACAATCTCCACATCAGCACTGACAAAGAAACAAGTACTATTTACCCACAATCATAAAGAAATTACATATATTAGAAACCAACACTTTCTCATTACTTTATTTTCCAGATCACCACAGCAACGCGTGGCAGGGGACAGCTAGTAATATATATTGGGGAAAAGATGTTGCTGTTAGCAGAACTATACCACTTTCAGGGGAAAGTTTCTGTATTGCCTGTGTGTTGACACAGTATAATTTGAGGTGCAGTGATGAGAAATATAATGCTAATTTCAGTAAATGAATCAGCTGGAATTATAGTATGATTTATCCTACAAGAATGTGTTTTTGCATGATAAATCACTACAGAACAGAGGTTCTTTGACTTTTTTTTCATGCTATGGACACATCTGGCCATCTGTTGAACCCTACAAGTCCCTTTTCAGTATTGCAGCAAGTCCATAGTTTTCATTACCTTCCCTAATATCTAAACTAATTTCAAAGCATTGATGATGAAGACACAGGTACTACTAATGCTAGTGTGGTTTGTTATGAGAATGCAATGATAAATTTAATTTGAAGAGATCAGTGGATATCAAGATGTAATTTTCCCCATACAAATTCACAAGTCCCTTGAAATCTGTTAAAGTTTTAAAAAGCCCTGCCATAGAAGAATTCTGAGGAAATACCATCTTCCTTTTCTAGCAATGAGATTACAGAAATCCCCCCTTAGTAATGACAGAACACGAAGTATAGTGTAGCATGACTTAATAAGCAAGAATACAGGGTTGGATGCATACTTTGATAATTGTGTTTTCCTATTGAAACTAATGAGGAAAATTATTCATAAATAACTTCCATTGTTTCCAGTGAAACTGAGTGCAACTAATGTACTATCTTATCACATTGGGATAAACTTTGTTCTGTGATTTTTGAATGCGATTCCGAATGAGTCCTATCACATGACGTTTGTCCCATTTCACCAGCAGTCTTTTGGAATCCAGCTGCTGCAAAACACGCAGAAACAGAGTAATTGCACACAGGATTCTAATTGTATTTTTTAAAATTTAATATTCTTCTGAGGCAATATTTTTGTGTATGATCAGGAAATCATTATGCATTTTGTCATCTAAAATCTCACAAGATTGATAGTTCAAGACTACCAGGCCATGTCACTGTGCAATAGTAGAAGAAAAATAAAAAAGTGATCTAGGAAGACATTCAAATGGATAGGAGGGATTCAGCTTTCCGTAGTATGATAAGTCAAAGTGCAGTATTTTCAAAATGTAAGAATTGGGTGTGATAGGGTCAGTACATATCCCATCAGAATGCACCCAGTTATAAATAATTGCATACTGATATAAACTGAGTATACCCCAATGTGAAAAGGTTTGTCGTCTACAAGTCTATTCCAATGGGATAGCCAGATTAAAGCTAGATCCACAGCACTAAAATTATAGAGGGGGGAGGGGTAATAGCACCACACTTGCACGCTGATGCCTAGGAGTAACCTCTGACCAACGTCTCCCTCTGATTTAATCCCAAACCTGGTATGGGGTTTTAAAAAATTGCTTTTTCCAATAAACGTTGCCATGTTTTTTTTAATGGATTAAAGCTTCACACATCAAAAAGGACCACTTTTACTTCAAATCATGAGAAATACCATGTGTTCATACAATATGTATGGATTCAGCCTAAGAGACTGAGCTAAAAACAAAGAAGATTCTGGTTCATACATCACCACTGCCACTGAGCATTAGGGAGCCTGAGATAAGCTACTCTAAACTTAGACTATCTGTAATATGGACATAAAAGCAGTGACTTACACACAGAGCAAGTGTAATGTTACTAGGGGAATGTATATGAAATGTTTAGAATGTTTATCTTCATCAGGAGGGTTTAGTAATTTGGGAATGAGCCTTCTGAGAAGACATCACCCATTACCACCACCATCACCACCACCATGCTTTCTCTCCCAGGCCTTTCTCCTTTCCTTTTCCTTCCCTCTACTTCTTTTGCTTTTAACATACAAGAGCTCCTCTTAATGGAACACTTTCTTCCTGGCTGTCTTGAAGCCTGGAGGGGACTCCTTCAAATTGAGGGAGTTGAAGAACCTGCCTGTGGAGAACTATGCGCACTCCGAAACAGAAGCACTCCTGGGGAAAGAGAGGCGACCAAGCCTGGAAACTGCAGCTGACCCCGAAGTACACACCTTACCCCCAATGCCAGAGCTGTCTCCCCTCAGGCCTCAAGAGCCACACCTTGCCAGGGGTCTGGGCCAGCTCCAGCCAAGGGGCAGATTCCATACCCTCCGCAAGGTCTCCTCCTTGGAGAGTTTGGAGGTCTCAAGTTCTGAGTTCCAGAGAAAATTCAGGGAAAGAAGGGCAAACTCAGGTAGGGAGGAAAGCATGTACAGTATTGACAACCCTTTGCCATTGGAATGGTGCTGGCTGTGTTCTCTTCTTTACCAAAAATGTTTAAACATGAGGCATGGAGTTGCACTTCCTAAATGAAGTAAACTGGTGGTGGTATGATGATCTGTGTATATGGCAATAACATCCAACTATGTCTTTATTAGTGTTTCAAAAGCACAGCAAATTCCTGCAGTAATTTGTCTCTCTCTGCTAAGATAATGTATTCCTATCAGGAACTCCTTGAATTGTTAACTAACTTGGTCTGAAGTAGATCACAGTCCTAAAATGCTGTGTATGATTGTTATGTTTTTATATTGCTGTTAGTATTTTAAAGTATTTATGATTGTTTTAATTTGTTGTAACTACTCTGGCATTAATTGCTGCCTATTGTTAACTGCTCTGAGTCACCCTTGGGCTGAGAAAGGGCAGTATATAAATGTAGTAAATAAATAAATAAATAAATAAACTCAGTAACCTGGAAAGCAAAATTAAATCAGTTCCTCATTTCAATTGCCAATCTTCCACTCTTCACCAGTGATAAGGAATACATTAAGTGGGCAGACTATTATTATTATTATTATTATTATTATTATTATTATTATTATACTGGAGCCCCCAGTGGCGCAGTGGGTTAAACCCCTGTGCCGGCAGGACTGAAGACTGACAGGTCGCAGGTTCGAATCCGGGGAGAGGCGGATGAGCTCCCTCTATCAGCTCCAGCTCCTCATGCGGGGACATGAGAGAAGCCTCCCACAAGGATGATAAAACATCAAAATCATCCAGGCATCCCCTGGGCAACGTCCTTGCAGACGGCCAATTCTCTCACACCAGGAGCGCCTTGCAGTCACTCCTGACACGACAAAAAAAAATATTATACTACATTTCTATCCCACCCTCCTCACTCCAATGGGGGACTCAGGGTGGCTTACATTGCCACACTACACATATGATAATAAACATGATATATCAATTTAAACAATTAGCATATCTATTTAAACATACAGTAATAATCGTGACATATCCATCAAACAATACAATAAAACATCTTAAAAGTAAACATTTAATCCCAACCAAAGTGGGCTGATGGAATAAGCTGCCAGAAGCAGGTGAGGCAGGAGAACCCCAAAAATGAGCACACGCACAGGTATTCTAATATCTGGGTGATGGGCGGCGTGGCCATTAAAGTAGCCATGCAGCAAGGCAGCGGGGGTCATAGAGGTACCCCGCGCACTTGTTCTGGTAGCCGGGCGATGGGCAGCACGGCCATTAAAGTAGCCACGCAGCAAGGCTGTGGGGACCATGTTGGAGGCTGCTGGGTCAGCTAGCTGGAATGAGGGTGTGGCTGCAGGTCTCCTTGTGAGTAAGGCCAGGGCTGAGCAGACAGCAAAGCTGGATGGCAAATACTCAAGCCTCAGGGTGTCTCCTGCAGCAGGGCGCAACAAAGCACTCCCAGGCCTCTAGGTCAGTCCTCTCCTTGGAGGCTGCTGGGTCAGCTGGCTGGAATGAAGGTGTGGCTGCAGGTCTCCTTGTGGGTAAGTCCAGGGCTGAGCAGGCAGCAAAGCTGGATGGCAAATACTCAGGCCCCAGGGTCTACCCTGCCGCAAGGGTCCAACAAAGCCCATTGACTGTGATGGCTAGGTCTGATGGGATTTGCAGTTGTAATTCTCCCCAGTCACCAAAGGCAATGTTTTTTCTGAACTTTGATGTAGAAGAAGATAAGAACGAGAGAACCATAAACCATCCTTGTGGAGGATTCTGACAAATGGGAAGGCACCTAGAGTGATAACATCCCCATTTTTTCTAGGTATTAAAACTAGACAGCAGACCAAAGGGGGTGGTCATCTTTTTCTCCAGAATGGAAAGATACATTGTATAGTCACCCCTCCATATCCACAGATCCTGTATCCATGGACTCAATATCCATATCTTGACACACCCCCAATTCCTTGATTTTATCACTTCATAGACGGACAACCACTATGTCATTGTATATAATGGGACTTGTACATCCATGGATTTTGGTGACCATGAAAAGTCCTGGAACCAAATCCAAGTGGGCAGCAAGGGCCCATTGTATTTATGTTTCAATTATTTTAATTATTTCTACATTTGAAGTTATACATGTAAATTAGCGCATACACATTTTCTTTTTTCTTTTTTATGTGTTTGTCTTTTTTGTGTTTTCGTTTTTGTGTTTGTCTTTCAGATCCAGCTGTGCCATTCTGGTTCACATATCAAACTTTAAAAAATATGGTTAAAGCTAACAAAAAAAACAGTAAATTTAATTGTGCAGGTGAAAGGAAAGGTTTAGGAAGAAAAACTTGAAGAAATGTATAGTAATAATCAGAGCCTGGTAGTAACTAATTAGAAATAAGCTGTTACTTAAATTAATATTTTTCATGTAGTACAGCAGAGGTTAACATGACTTCTTTTGCAGTGTGATTGCAACTGTTAAGTTACCTTTATAATGGCAAGTGTTGTGGCTTCAGTGTTTTGAACTACAGGCCAGTGACTTGTGGCTTTCTGAAGTTTAAAATTAAATAATTTTAACTAATGAGAATGCAAACCTTTACTTTTAAAGAATAGCAATCATAATTATAATTAGCTACTGTTTGGCGTACTTGAATTGTAGCTGATTATTTCTAAAATTCAACTTTGGATACTGATTTAACAACATTTTCTGAATATTCTGAACCGCAAATATTTCACAGCCCTGGCATTGAAAAATTCAGTTTCTTATTAGGAATGCTTAAAGACTTATTTGTTTTGTATGTTGTAGACTGATTTAATTGGCTTCTGTTGCTTTTGCTATAATTACTTTTTTTTTTTGTTTTAGTATATTTCTAGGCTTGATATTTTTGGATGTTATTGCTATTGTTCTTTCTAATATTTTAAGTTGATTGCTGTTGTCATTTTTTAATGAAAGCTACTTTAACAAGGTTTTGTTACTCTAAAAGGTAGCTTATAAATCTGTTTGTTGCTGTTGCTGTTGCTGTTTTTGTCGTTGTGAGTCTTCAAATTGTTTCCAACTTACATTAGCTGCCCTAAGGTGACACTATCATAGGTTTTTCTTGACAAAATATTCAGAGGAAGGAGTTGCCATTGATTTCCTCTGAGGTTGAGTGTGTGAGTTGCCCAAGGTCTCCCAGTGGGTTTCTATGGGTGGGTGGGGATTCCATCTCTGGTCTCCTTATCCAACTCCCAAACCACGACTCCATGCTGTCACTTTTGAAATATTATTAAATTATTCTACTATGCTTTGTTAATATGATGTGCTGCTTTTCACAAAATATTACAATCCCATAGAATTCAATGGTTGTCCCTTATTTCAAAATCATTTCCAATAATTACGATCAAAGTAAAATTACATGTTTAAAAAATCTGGATTCACCATCCTATGTTATTCTAGCCCCTTACAATAGAAAGTAGGTTACTTTAACTCTCTACATATTTGCACCACAAGACACAAAAATTGCTGGGTTTTCTGCCAACCTAACTAGATAAACTTTTCATTGACTTTTCCTGCAGATTCATCTCATGTCAAGACCAGCCAGAATTCCACATCAGATTCTGACCTCAAGTATAGAACAATTAGTCAGATTCCACAGTTCACCCTCAACTTCGTAGAATTCAATCTAGAGAAGCACCGCTCAGGTTCCACCACAGAGATCGAGATCATAGCACCCCACAAAGTGATGGAGCGAACCCAAAATGTAACGGAAAAGGTCACACAGGTATGTGAATCATTAATATCATCTATTTAAATCAAATTTAGAGTGCAGAAGTCAAAGATGGATGAGCACAAGAACTAAGAGTCAACATGTTCAATGTAAGAGATGTTGTCAAAGAAAGGCCAATTTTTCAAATTCTACCCAGTTGAACTCAGACTGTTAAAATGGTTGACACCTCTGCATTAATTTTACCATGTAGATGCAGCCTCAATACAATCTTATCCTGCTTTGGGGCCTCTAGTCAGTATCTCACTGACTAGTGTTGGAAATAGTATGCTGGACTAAACAAACAAGAAAGCTTTACCCTTATTACACTCTTGTTAGTATTTGTGGCTTTTGTGGATTTTTCACCCATTGAACTTCATCAGGCTAGACCGCCCACCTCAAACTTTTTGAAATAAATCATTTCCTTTTTGTAGCTTTCTCAGTTCATTGGCTTAGCCTTTGCATCTGTTAGTGCCAGAGAGCAGGGAGGACATGAACACTTGCCACATAGGAGCTGCTGCTAGGCAACAGAATTGATGCCTGATCAGTAGCAACACCAGCTTGTCAATATTGGGTCATTAGCTGGCTGAGGGTGATGGGATGGCATCTGACAAGTCGTTGCTGGAGGCTGGATAGAAAGGGCAGAGTCTGTGAGCGCTTTGCTATTGTGGATCAGTCATCGTGCCAGCAAACATCGACCATTAATTCTGCAGGCTACAAAGGTTCTAGGAGGAGCTCTCAAGATTCTGTACCTTTTACCCAGTGTGTGATGGAATCCAATATGCAGGTCATCTTGATAAACTCACTGTGACCCTCATACCATTCCGCCAATTTTTGCTAAATAGTTTCCCACCCAACTGTTTCCTCATGTGAGAACTCCCGTGTGCTGTTTTTGCAGAAGTTGCTGTTTTACACTACAATTCCCAGAAGCCTCCCAACTAGAATGGCTAATGACTATGCTGGCTGGAAGATTGTGGGAACTTCGGTCCAAATAATAACTTCCCCATGTTCTGCCATTATCTTCCTTTGCTAATTAGCAAATAGCAAAAAGGAGATGAAAAGTAAAACTGCATAGTGTATCCAAAATTTCACAGATATCTTACCTCCTGTCTAAAGGTAAAGGTTTTCCCCTGACACTAAGCAAAGTCATGTCCAACTCTAGGGGTGGTGCTCATCTTCATTTCTAAGCTGAAGAGCCAGGGTTGTCCATAAATACCTCCAAGGTCATATGGCCAGCATGACTGCATGGGGTGCCGTTACCTTCCTGCCAGAGCGGTACCTATTGATCTACTTACATTTGAATGATTTCGAACTACTAGGTTGTCAGAAGCTGAGGCTAACAGCAGGAGCTCATGCCGTTCCCCGGATTAGAACCTGTGACCTTTCGGTCAGCAAGTTCAGCAGCTCAGCGCTTTAACCCACTGCGCCACTGGGGGCTCCCCATGTCTACATGGCCTTAATGAAACATTCTCACCTCGGGCCTGCTGGCAACAGGCCAGATGAAATATGGACTGCTCTACTATATAAGCACTTCTTTTAGCTTTTAATTCATCACAAAAAGAAACTCGGGTTATTTCAATTCCAAGAAACTCCAGTGAGACTCCTAGTGTTTTTGGTATGTGGAAAGCAAATCAGGATGATTCTGCTGTTTCACCAGTCAGAAGCAGCTCCCCAGCAGGAGATGTTGTTTCTGATGATCACATAGCCAGATCCCTATTGTGACCTTACTAGAAGCGACATTGCTAGCAAGGCTTTGCCATCGAGCTTGGCAGACCCCAAGAGGACAGTGTTGATGCACTATCACCCCGGTCAACCATCTGGACTGCAAAAAGGGGCACTTCTTCAGCAATATGTGTGTATCTCCCATGGTGTGTCTGGGGCAACTTCAGAGCAGGCTGTTATTTGATCTGATGTAGATGCAGCCTCAATTTCAAGAATGTGCAGTAGTGGCAGGAAAGCCAATTATTGAAGATGAATTTGTAATTTTTTAAGGTTCATGATTGGAATCTGATAATAGATGGAACCGAGGAGTTAATTTAATAAATAACACAGTGACAGGGTGTAGTCTAGTTAGTAGCCCAACTTGATTTAGAATTCTTACAAAAAAAAACCCCAAAGGCAACAACTGAGGTGCCAAAGGCATATAAATAAACTCATCAGTAAGGAGAAAGTGTTATTTCCAAATTATGTACACCACATTTGGTTTTTGTATCTTATTCCAGTGTTCTGGCTGTTACCTTATCAGTGGAGCATGTCACAATGTTTTGAAACATCTCAGGATGTGTTGCACACGTTTAAATTAACTTGAAAACACAAGGAGCACTTTCTAGTCAAAGCAAACTGTTTTCTTTGACATTGATAGGCCTCATTTGTGCCATATGGTCACCCACTGACTTTCCCTCTTCATTCCCCAGTCCATGGTGTACAAGTGCTTCTGGCACTGTAGCCTGAAGAAGAGAAGGCTGAGAGGAGATATGATAGCCATGTATAAATATGTGAGAGGAAGCCACAGGGAGGAGAGCAAGCTTGTTTTCTGCTTCCCTGGAGACTAGGATGCGAAACAATGGCTTCAAACTACAAGAGAGGATATTCCATCTGAACATGAGGAAGAACTTCCTGACTGTGAGAGCCGTTCAGCAGTGGAACTCTCTGCCCCGGAGTGTGGTGGAGGCTCCTTCTTTGGAAGCTTTTAAACAGGCTGGATAGCCATCTGTCAGGGGTGATTTGAATGCAATATTCCTGCTTCTTGGCAGGGGGTTGGACTGGATGGCCCATGAGGTCTCTTCCAACTCTTTGATTCTATGATTCTATGATTCTGTGTTTGAAAAACTATGCTGATACATGTCAACAGACTCAGAAGTGGAGTGGGCAGAACAAAAGACAACCTGGCAAAATGGCACTACCTAAAAGAATCCCACACCTTATGTGACTGTGGAGCAGAACAGACAATTCACATCTGTATGCTTGTCCAATATGCCCTGCCTCATGTACAGAGGAAGAATTGTTGGAGGCTACAGACAATGCATTGCTGTTGCCCGTTTTTGGTCAAAAGATATTTAGCTGCCTGCGCTCCTTCTATTTTTATCAGTTTTATACTAATTTATGCAATGCTTTTGATACGAAATAAATAAATAAAATAACAGTGAAATTCTGGTTATGCAACTGGAACTGGCAAGTTTTAATGCTCTGGGCTATGGATTTGGGTTGTACCAACATTAGGAAGTGTTTGGTCCATCTCAAAGTGGAGCTGAAAAGTCTAGAATAGAAAAGAGGAAAGTGCAGCTCTGTGTACATTGTTGGATTACAATTCCCAGCATTATTCAGCCTTGGCATGCTGGCAAGGGAATTCAATTCAGAAACATCTGGAGGCCACACTTTGCCCATCCTTTTCTAGAAGAGGAAAGAAAATAAGTATACTACTTTCAGCAAAGGACAAGAGGGATCCTCTCATTTCTGCAGGAGTCTACCGTGTACCATGCAGCTGTGGACAAGTCTACATAGGGACCACCAAACGCAGCATTGCCCAAACACGAATCAAGGAACATGAAAGGCACTGCAGACTACTTCAACCAGAGAAGTCAGCCATAGCAGAGCACCTGATGAACCAACCTGGACACAGCATATTATTTGAGAACACAGAAATGCTGGACCACTCTCACAACCACTATGTCAGACTACACAGAGAAGCCACTGAAATCCACAAGCATGTGGACAATTTCAACAGAAAGGAGGAAACCATGAAAATGAACAAAATCTGGCTACCAGTATTAAAAAACTCTAAAATTGCAACAGCACAACAACAGAGAGGAAACAAACAAGGACATCTAATCACCTCTCAACAAAAGTTTGCTCCAGGCATGTCAGGCCATTATATGCTAATCAAGGTGGTCAGTTGAAACATTCACACCTAGCTCCAGCAGACAAGAGTCCTTTGTCTCACCCTGGTCATTCCACAGATATATAAACCCTTTTCCCTAGTTCCAACAGACCTCACTACCTCTGAGGATGCTTGCCATAGATGCAGGTGAAACGTCAGGAGAGAATGCCTCTAGACCATGGCCATAAAGCCCGAAAAAACCTACAACAACCCAAAATAAGTATAGACAGAAGCACAAGAAATGTCAGCCACAGCATAAATGAAGAGATTAGCAGTTTGTAGATCTATTTATGGATCTTTCTTGCAAAATGCTTATGAGGTTCTTAATTTTTTAAAAATGTATTCTTTTGCAGAGGTAAGGAAATAGTCTGGATCAAACTCTCACAGGATTTTGAGATTTAGAATGATATGGAGAAGAGAAATCAAGACTCTGGTATTAAAGATGTTTCCAAAAATGTCACAAAACTTGTAACTTCAATCCTTCTACATCAGGGAATGGTACATGTAGTGTATTTCTGAGCGTGATCACAGCTCTTCCTCACCACTCCAGGGAGTGATGTAAGCAACCCACTGCCTAGGCTGGGGAGCACGACACCACTCCCCTCTCCCCTCCCTGAGTCTGGCTCCCTTGATCACACAGGCAGCACTTACTTTCAACACTGAGATAGAAATGAGTCTGAAACTCAAGCTGAAACCGGTGAGTGATGGGAGGAAAGGGTTGGAGAAGTGCAGGTGGGGTGTGTGTTATGGTTTAAGTTTCACCTTTTCCTCTGACAGGATAAATAGTGTTTCAGAAAAGGAAGGCTGAATCTTTTAAAAGCCCCAGTAAGACCATCTTCTCTAATTCTTTCTAAACCTTCGTTTGTTGGGTTCCTTTTGTGGCATGGATAAGGAGTTGTCGTAACATGTCAGATCTCAGGTAAACATTAGAAGATGATCAAGAATTCAGTTCTTTTGTCTTTTGTAGGGAGTTTTATTTTATTTTATTCAGAAAAGAGAAGAAAGTGCTTTGACTTTAGTAAACTCTGAGTAGACACCATTTCGCATACCCAGGGTTGCTTGGTAGACTGCTGCATCCATCTTTTTTTTCCTGTCTTGCATGCCTCTCAGTCTTGGCTGAATTTTGGCCATGCAAACCAAT